AACACCACCCCAGCCGCTGTTTCCGGGGGTCCCGGAACTGGGCCTTGGCGCCCGCCCCTCCGACTGTGGTTTCTCTTCCGGCCCTCCCTCGCTCGTGAGCCCTTGGTGAACGTCTTCAGGTTCCACGTGATACTTCGAGATGGGCTGTGACCCTCTCCTTCAAGACCCCCAGCGCGGTGGCGCCTGAACGCCCCCGCCCCCGCACCACCCCAGCCGCTGTTTCCGGGGGTCCCGGAACTGGGCCTTGGCGCCCGCCCCTCCGACTGTGGTTTCTCTTCCGGCCCTCCCTCGCTCGTGAGCCCTTGGTGAACGTCTTCAGGTTCCACGTGATACTTCGAGATGGGCTGTGACCCTCTCCTTCAAGACCCCCAGCGCGGTGGCGCCTGAACGCCCCCGCCCCCGCAGGACCGACTTGGTGAGGTTGGACAGGCCGGTAGCAGCCCACACCTGCGCCTGTGAGAAAGCCCTGGACAGACTGTAGAGAGCACATGTCAATGTATAGGATGCAGAGAACATAATGCCTCCCAAATAGAGTACAGTGTCAGAGTCTTCCCAAGAGTGGAGAGTGAAACCCACCAAGAGTGATAATGTGGAAAACCTGATACGTAATCCCCCCAAGAGTAAGAGAGATATCTAACCCAACAGATCACCCTATGACGCTTGTAACCCTGTTATCTAAATGTGAAACCCTATGACGTGTCCAGCCCCAATATCTACTCAAACAGCCCCAATATGTGTGAAGAGATAAAACCCGAACCAGTGCCACAGACCCCCGGTTAGAATGGTATAAAAGAGAGCGCAGAAGACCAGCTCGTCCCACTCGGATGTTGGAGACCAAGACCCCTGTGCGTCTCCACCCTCCGTGTGTGCCCCTCCACCCTGTGTGTATGTGTGCCCCTGATAGGAACTTTACACCCTCCTGGGGACATTCTGACCCCTCCCGGGAACATTCTGGCCATGCCCTACCTTATCTAGCTAGACCAGCCTAAATTAGGTAACCTAGCAACCAGGAAACTCCCTGCTCATCCCTGCCTGCATAAAAGCTGCTGTGTGAGAAATAAAAATTGTCAAATTTTGACCATCTAAAAGAGCTCTGTCTGGTTCCTGTCTTCCTGCGTCGTTCCCGTTCCCGTTCCGGGTGGTCCCCTCCTCGAGCCCTACTAATAACGAACCCCGCCGGCCGGGGCACTCGGATGCCTGAAACAGCCCGACACTCTGCCTGATGAGACATCAGAAGCCTGCCTGGAGTGGACCCCCGGATCAACGCGGAGGCAACCGGATCAAACACCGCAATCACAAGGAAAGGAGAAATAAAGTCTCACTCCTCGGACTTGTGCAGGTACAGGGAGTGACAACTGGTGGGTATGAATTAACATGTTTGGTCTGTGACATATATAATATATATTTAAAAATTTAGTTGGCAACTACTACTGTCTCGACCTCCAGTTAGTGCACACTCCTGCTCGCGACACAGACCCCATCTGGGCAGTGTAGGGGACGCGTTTTGGAGGCTGGTGGCACAATGTGGGCAGAGCGGGAGAATGCACCTGTGCCCTCCCCTCCTGAGGCCTCGTCCCTGCCCCTCCCGCAGGCCAGCCGCCTCTGGATGCTTTCCTTTTTCAGCTGATCTGCCTGGGACCTTTTCTCCCTCTGGGCAAAGGAGTTGCTGCCCCTGCTCCCGGACCTCAACCAGGATGGACTGTAGCCTCCTGTCTGCTCCCCAACCCTGCAGCCACCCCTCCCAGGTCGAATGAATCCACTGCTTCACCTGCGTTCCATATATATCTTTCATGTTTTGTTTTGTTTTGGGTACTGGGGAATCAAACTTGGGACCTTGCACTTTCGAGGCAAGCGGCAGCACCACTGAGCTAAATCCCCGGCCCTCTATCATGTATTTTTGTCTCCAAATGTCCGTGAAGTGCTGTTTCATTCAGTGTGCATACACAGATCACTGCTGTGTGTAGGCCTGCTTCCTGCCTCATGGGGTGGGGGCTGCTGGGGAGACTTCACAATGGGCAGGAGTTGTCCTCCAGGCCTAGACCCTGGCTGGGCTCTTTGTCTGACCTCCACCTCCCTTTCCTGCAGACCCATGGGTGCCCCACCCTGGCCTACCTGCCATCTGACAGCCACTCCTCACTCTGTTATAGCATATTTTTCACAGCAGCAGTTGGGTCACCCCATTCTGCTCATTTGTTCTCCCCAGCCCAGGGACACACAGAGGATCTTTTCTTCCACATCCTGACCTGGAGATTTGATTTGTGTGGTCAGCCTTCTGGATGATGGCTGTGGACAATAAGGGGGGTCCACAGAAGGGGCTACTTATCTCTGAACAGAGAGGAGGGGCGGGGAAGGGGAGACAAAGGCAGGTTGTGAGGCAGGATAGTGGGGAAGACCGAGTAGAGCTGGGCTGTGATACCTATGAAAGGAGGCCAGCCGAGGCAAGACTAGGGCACGTTCATGTTTGAATGTAGAGTATGATTTGTGGGAGGGTGTGTGTGTGTGTGGTGTGCATATATGTATATATGTATGGTATATGGGTGTGTGCCTGGTGTGAGTACATTTGTGAGTGTGTGGTGTGTGTGTGTGTGGTGTGAGTATGGTACAGGTGAGTGCATATATCTGTGTGATATGCATGTGTGGGTATATGTCACATACATAGCACATGTGAGTGTGTACACATGTGTGTATGTGTGTGTGTGAACATAGGTACATGGGGTGTGTGTGTCCTTGTATGCCTCCAGGGACACACTTTCACATAATTATGGGATAGATCCATTTGGGAAACTTCTGGGGCTTATTTTCTTAGGCTGAAGATGGGGCACCATGTGGGTCCTGGCTCTGGTGTGGTCACCTCCATGGGTTGGGGTTCCACAGCTTTGAGGCCACTGCCCAGGCTGTCCCTAGGATGG